TGATGATTGCATCTAGCATGAAACAGTCTGTCATTTTATATATATATATATATATATATATATATATATATATATATATATATATATGCATTGTGTTGACTTCAATGTTCACTTTTATATTTACATACGCTCTATCTCTGATCTTGAGCACTTTATCCCATAAATATAGCATACCTTAAAACTATATTTCTCCTAACACACACACACACACACACACATATATATATATATATATATATATATATAATAAAATTAAATGTTTCACACGCTGAATTAAATTTACAATTCGAGAGACGTTATTGTAAAATTTATTTATCATAAAATTACTAATTTATTATACAATGCGAAGCTAAGAGTAGATCCAAGATAAGTGAACATTTAATGTTATTTACTATTGTTATTAATGCTGTCTCTTGAAACCAATTACTCTAATTACGAAGATTGCTGGCCTTACAATGTTATTTTCCGGAATTACTCTGGTTGACTTGTTTTTGACGTAATATAATATTTGCTTGATATATATATATATATATATATATATATATATATATATATATGTGAAAAGTGAATATAAATATAAATAAATATATATATATATGTATAATTATTTATATATTATATGCAAGGGTACTTATTAGAGTTTGTCTGACGATCGCTAAAGCGTGAAACCCAGGGTCACAAACTCACATCTATCCAACCAAATATATATATATATATATATATATATATATATTCTTGGTGTATACCAAAGATAATGCTCAACATAAAGGAGCAATTTATCGGTATTATATTCAACAGCAATGCCTATAAATATGAAAAAATATATGTGGAAAAAAATCGTTCAAAAATTTTGAAACTACCAGCGTCTCTCGTTTCGTGCACACGTGTAGACATGACATCAAAAGCCAGTCCAATGAAATGCTAATGGATGAAACACGCCACAAAAACATTTTCCAATTTGTCATACTATTTTTCTAAATACTCTTTGTTGATATATAAAATTATACAAGATTATATATCGTTATACCATATATATATGATATAATATATATATAAGACATTTTTATGTTTAAACATTCTTTTTATAAATATTTAAGTCAATGCTCTATTTATAATAAATAGTATCAAACAACATTTACCGGCCTGAATGTCCGAGAAATTTTCATAGAAAATATTCGTCCTCCGACAGGAATCGAACCTGTATCCTATACGGAACCGTCATATAGCCTGACGTGCCATTAACCGATTTGGCCACAGAGGAGCGTTCGGTTAGCAATGTCGAATATACTGCATTTAAACTTCAATAAATACATACTTAATATGGTAATCCCTTTCTCTCTAGCGTGTGCGGATGACCTAGGGAGTCTCCAAATGATGTCAGATCGGTCGGATTTCGATCCCAACTTGTAGCAATCACATGTCTAGCCACACTGATGAGTTGCGATACAGCGAAACAGTCTGTCTGTGGATGACTATATATATATATAACGACTTGTAGGCGCGCCATAAAAATATCCCTCACTGGGAACCAACTAAAGGATGACCGCCAACATTAGCCTTGAAATAGATAGCCTACCCAACCTTAGCAAAACCTCTCAAAAGATGATGAATCTATAGATAAGAATTAACTCTCTGACCACTTAACGAAGAAAACTAGCCTAGCCACTCCCACAATAACGAATGTCATAACGGACCATGCCTAAAAACACACGTAAACCAAGAGATAGCTTATTCCTAAAATTTCGCTTGAAGATGAAACGGGACTAAACACCTCAATTCAACTTAATTTTAATAATTATTTTGATTGTTTTTGGCTCACGTTTTTGAAACATGAGAACTGTTATGTAGCGAAGGAATCATGTTTTAAATATATATATATAATATATATATATATATATATATATATATATATATATATATATATATGGTGAGAGATAGACTAAACGGTTGATTTTGACATATAACATCTCAACAGAATAGTTTAGAGCTGAACCGCTAGACAAACTACACAGATGATTTATTATAGGATGGAATACTTGTGAAGAACCAGTTACTGTTTTCGGAAGAATTGTCCACAGTGAAATGTAGCACAGCGTGCCACAATATCTTCGAACGTACTTCGTTGTTTTAATGGCACTGGGGTGGTTAATCTTTTTTGAATGATAGCAAAACCTAAAGGTGGTACATGGACATAAAATGATTTTCCCATCTGCCCAGGAACATTCTTAGATCATTAATAAAGATCTATGCAGGTAATACCACAGTTTATGGGTGCGCCTCGGAGAATCTCCAGGCACAGTGCTTCCTCGGACTTACCAATGGTAACTCACTGGGGAAAGAATTGTTTTGTAACATTCAATACATCCAAAACAAATCTCGCAACGTTTTGTCATTGCTGATGAGACTCCAGTCATAATGAGCGTTTTTATTCTCTATGAGGCTCCTTACCGGGACGTCTTCTTGGACTAATCTTCAACCTTGACTTCAAGTATATACAATCCATCGCTAAAGATACTGGAGCAATTGTCAATTACATAACTTGACCTTTCCTACAAATCTCTATCTTTGCCGAAGACTAAAAATGGAGTATTGCTGCCATATCTGGGCTGGATTGCTGAATTCCCACTCTTCAACCTTGACAGAGTTCAGAAACGCTAACACGGATCTGTAGGCGATTAATTATTCTCAAACCTACAACCCCTTCCCCATAGAGAAAATGTTGTTAGCCCCTCGCCACTCTATCGCTATTTTCATGGCAAATGTTCAAACGAAATACATTCCTTAATTCCACTAGTTCAGATCTTTACAGCTAAGACCAGTTATGCCAGGTTCAAGGGTTCGAATCCTCTTTCACTTCATACTCTATTTGTAAGAAGGCAGGCCCACCCAGACAGCTTCTTCCCCGATAACAGACTCCCTAAAAATGCTTCCTGATCACTACAATCTTAACCTCTGCAAGTCTAAGCTAAACCATTTTCTATCCTACATATCCTCATAATCTGCATTTACTGACAACTTCTTTACGTCCCTGCAACAACTTTGTTCAGTTATACACTACTTTGAGTGGTTCTTGAGCCATGTATTGGGTGGATATTTAGTATAAAAAAGATTTGAATGGAATTCTGATTTTTCCTTCTCCTAGACTGGTTGTCAGCCATGGCTAAAGAATACAGTCTACTATTTCAGTCATAGGATGTGTGTGTTTTCCAAGGACATTAGTGCGAAGGGAAATTAAGCAGGTTTTAACTTTCCACACCGATATCCTTTACATTACACCCGCGCATCTGTAGGTGTGCGTGTGCGTATATGTTTGTATGTGCCTCTGTGTGTGTATGTGCGTATGAGTGTATGTGTGTGTGCGTATATGTGGCATGTATGTTCCTCTCTGTGTTTGTGTACGTGTGCGTGCATGTGTGTGTATGTGCCTATGTGTGTGTGTGTGTGTCTGTGTGCACGTGTGCGTGCATTTATGCCTGTATGTGTGTGTATGTGAGTATGTGTCTGAGTTTGGGTGCATGTGTGTGTACGTGGATCTGTGTGTGTGTGTGTGTGTGTGTGTGTGTGTGTGTGTGTGTGTGCGTGCATTTGTGTGTGTATGTGCGTATATGTGTGTGTATATGCGTTTGTGCGTGTCCGTGCGTGCATGTGTGTGTTCGTGTCTGTGAGTGCGGCGTAGGTGGATATGTGCGTGTAATCACTGATAACGCTGATTAAAAGCTAACTTTTCAGTTTTCATATACAACTTTGTCTCGAATTCAATAAGTTTTCTCTCACATCATTAATTGAATTGCTGGAAACTCCGGAAATATACGTCGATATTGTTTAGTTTAGTTAGTAGTTGTATCCATATATATATATATATATATATATATATATATATATATATATATATATATAAAGGCTTAATCAAATATCAGATACAATTCCAAAATGAAAACAACTCCGAAATCAAAACAGACACTTTTCTAAATTCTGTTTTGATTTCCGGAGTTGTTTTTTTCTGTTTTCATTTTGAATTTGTAGGTCTGATGATTTGATCGTATTTACGATTCCAATGGAATAAATTATGACCATGGAATATTAGTGTTTAAGCCTTTTTATTATATCCTTACTCTGTCCTAGACATTGAGTTCTACCTGATCCTTCCTCTGAAAATTTTTTCTGAAAAATATATTTTCATATGTATGTATATTTTCCATAATATTATCCATATATATATATATATATATATATATATATATATATATATATATATATATATATATATATATATATATGGCATCATTTGCAGTCTAATACTGTAAATTTCTGCTTCTGGTTATTATTTGGTTCCAGTTTTAAAGTAGTTGCAACAAATTTTATATTAATTTTAAATAAATTCTTTTCAATTGCGTAGTATGTGTCAGCTTTTATCAAGTTTATTTGCTTCATTGACTTATCTAAACGTTATTCTCTCTTGTTTGCATTCTGAAATAAAGAGGCTATTGGTAGCGTTTAAAAATGTATTTCTCTTCACCATTTAAAACCTGGTTGCTTAAAAATTGTCAGAGATCTTAAATACAGGACGATATTCATTACGAATTTCATTCTGTTGCTATGATTTCAATAAGAGTTCATGAGTTCATTTTTATTGCTGCATTTTCGATAGACACTTAGCTTTTATTATTATCATTCCGTTTTTATTGCGGAAATGCAATGTATTGTTTTGTTTTTTTTTTGTTTTTCTGTTTCATAAGTAAATTCAGTTGTCCGCTTGATGTTGTTTAGTTTATTTACAAGTTCAGGTAATATTGTTTTTTCGGATATATATCAATAAAGCATTATCGATATATTGAAAATATGTAGTTTGTTTAGATAAAATATTTTGGAAAGATCCAATCTCTCGAAATTCTAAAAAAAACAGCTAAGAGAATATAACATTGATTACAACTACTTAAAAAAATAATAAGAGACTTAATTAATAAAAAAATACCAATTTTTCTATATGTATATAAATAGACCTGAAAGATAGATAGATAGATAGATAGATAGATAGATAGATAGATAGATAATGAATAGACACAGATAGATAGATTCATACATACATACATACATACATACATACATACATATATATAAAAATAGATAGAAAGAAAAAAAGACCTAGAACTATAGATAGATAGATAGATAGATATGCATCAATTTAAACAATCCTTAGATAGATAGATAGATAGATAGATAGATAGATAGATAGATAGATAGATAATGAATAGAATAGATAGATACATACATAGATAGATACATAGATATATATAAAAATAGATAGAAAGAAAAAGATAGATACATACATACATACATAGATACATAGATAGATAGATAGATAGATAGAAAATAGATAATTTAAAAAACTAGATAGATAGAACTATAGATAGATAGATAGATATGCATCAATTTAAACAATCCTTAGATAGATAGATAGATAGATAGATAGATAGATAGATAGATAGATAAGACAGACAGACAGGTGGATAGACAGGTATAGCGGCTGATATAAGTAAACAATTAGTACAAAAATCGAAACCGTAAAAGCAAACCGTTGATTCATTAATCATCATTTAAGAAAACTAAAACAATTTATAAAATAAAATAAATTTAATTTTTGACGCCCTCTTCGTCCTTCTTCAACTTTATTTTTAGGAAGTTGTTGATTTTTTTTTTAATTTCCAATCAAATAATAACTGTTTCTTATAGTTTAATAAGTTTTCAATGGGAACTTAAGCTAAAAGCTGTCCCAACTTTGGCAGACGATAAAAAATATCACTGATTACGTTGATCAAGAAAAAGTCAGAATCGCTGAATACAGAAAAATACACCTTGATAAGGTGTTTCAAAACATCAGTTCGAAGTCAAAAAATGTTTAATGTTTGAAGAAATAAAGAAAGAAAGAGTAATAGAGAAATAATTAATGAAAAGAATTCATGAAAAGAAAGGAAGAAAATTAAATAAGAAACAATAAGAAATAAAAAAAATGGGAAAGGAAAGAAAAAATTCGTGAAAAGAAAGAAAAAATAAGGAAGTAAAAAAAAAATAAATTGTTTGTATAGCATGAACTACTTTGAAAGAAAGAAAGGATAGAAAGAAAGAAAGAAAAAATAAGAATAAAGAATTCGTAAAAGCAAAGTCCTTAATGATCAGTTTTAAAATAACATTATATAACTTAAACACAGTCTCACCTTTTTCCAAATGTCAATAATCGAGTATATGTATATTCCAGCATCAAAATTTATCTGTGTACACGTTGATGTCCATATATTAAAAGTTATTTCACTGTCCGATAATTTGTCTCTTATTTATTTTTCCTATAAATTTGTCTCATTTATTTTTCCTATAAAGATTAACCATTAGGAAGAGAACAAAGTGGCCGTCCAGTCCTAAAAACAAATAAATATTTTGTCCTGTAAATTTCTGATTACTTTCAAATTCACATCAGACATGAACGAAAGCACAAAATTCTTCCAACGTCTGCTAGAAGTCGCCATCAATTAACAATGCGCTTGTGAGAGCAGAAAGAAAGGTGGGTTGTCGAAACGTACACAGGTATAGGTAAATCAAGTAGGAATCATATATTTTGGCTGTCTATTTCTTTGTGACGGAGTTTGATATACGTTTGGATCGAATAAGCCAATTACCTCCTCTCAGCTGGAGTTCGACTAAATAATAATCAGTCGACAACGAAGGTGCGGGGGGTGAAAGTATGAGAATTTCCTTTCTATTCGACTTTGTTGTATTTCCAGTGACAACTCGCTTTGCTTAGATTATTCGTAATCATGAAGCATTAACTGTTTTATTAGTAGAAAAATTGTCATACCTTGTAAAGTGTACTTATTGTTTTGGTATGGGTATGTACTATTATGGCGATTGTATTAACTGTTTTAATGTGAAGTACTTTAGTATGTTTATAATTAGTTATTAAAAGCAACAGTAGTGTCTGGATGGTGAGAAAATTATGCATAATACAAACGCAGATTACCTGTAAAAATCAAAGTATTATCTATATATAGATCGATATTTCCACAGAAGTAGGTAGGTTTTGTGCGTGTTTAAATGAATTCTAATGGAGCTGTCATTGAATAGGCGTGACGTAAGTCGTCTGGATAGGCATGTAGTAGTGTAACCAATGTAATTATCTATGAATTTGGTTTGATCGAGAACACAGTTCCTTAAGGAGCATTTGAAATCATAAATAATGTTGGTTCTTTGCAGTTTTGATTTTTGAGGTGTATTGTTATTTTGATGATAAGTTTAGCTGTTTAAATATTTTTTTTAATAAAAAATTAATTTAATTTTCCTGTTCGGGTCGACTGGGGTAGTGTATTTATTCATGATATTTCTAAATGAAGATTCATCTTGCATATAGTGTATTTGGCTTTTGTAGAAGATGTTAATGTTATTGTTTTTGTCTCTGTGTTCAGTATCGTTATTAGTTACTTTGGGAAGAAATAGTTTAATCCAGTGGTCGATGAGGTAGTTAGGGAAACTATTGTTAACTAGTGTCTGTTTTGTATTGTTGAGTTCTTTAAGGAAAAGTAGACGAGAGGATGAATTCTCGTGTGCTCTCTTTAGGAAATTATTTATAGCTGCTATTTTATATCTAAGTGGATATTCACTCTTAAAATTAAGGTGGCAAGAGTTTCTGATAGTGGGTTTTTTTATACAATGAGGTGGTGAAAATGTTGTTACTGTATTCTACGAAAATGTCTAAGAGTGGGAGTTTATTATTTTGATTATTTTTCAAATATGGTTTTGAGATTATTTCTTGTTTGTTTTTCGCTAAAATAAAAAATATTGTCTACGCAGTGGGCATATATTTTGGGTTGGCCAGTTTAAATATAATCTTTTCTACGTGGCACATGTAGTAATTAGAGAAACATGGGCTGAGCGGATTTCCCATACTAACAGCATTAGTTTATGTGTAGATGTTGTCATTATGGATTAGAAGAGGACTTTAGTTGTGCATGCATGTAATAATTTTTGATGATATTTGCTTTGATGGATGGAGCACGAATATATATATATATATATATATATATATATATATATATATATATATATATACTATGCTATATTATTTTAAATATATAAGGTGAGTGAAAATAACTCCCTATTTTACGTATGATGGAGTCTCCCGTCAAACTATAATCTTTTATAATACGGGAGTGTCCATCATCCATAAATTAGGATTTAATTTTTTAATAACCTGTATATATATATATTTTTTCCCAACACAAACCCCATAAATAATATGAAATGCTTCGCTGTTAACATAGGCTGGTATATATCTCAAAATTTAAATTATGTAAGGGTCAGTCATAACTAAAAACCTGAAGATTAAGTTGTGCATGAAACTAAAAGTTATGCTACTGATGACGAAAAACTATATATTTATTATTATATATATATATATATATATATATATATATATATATATATATATATATATGTGCGTGTGTGTGTGTGTGTATCATATCATATATCAAATTTTCAAAAAAGCGTCAGCAACGACAGGTCAGAGTCTTCATGAATATTTATATTTACAAACGCCTTATTCAGGATAGTGGTCACTTTTACCCATAAATACAGCGTACCTTAAAACAATTTTCTGTATATATATATATATATATATATATATATATATATATATACCGGTTGTAACAGCAAAATTGTCCAAATCTTGTTACAGCATAATTGCCCATCCTACAAAATGTTTAATATCTAAAAAAAAAATTAGTAACTAATTGAGTTTGTTTTTTCCCTCTTTTTCAGATAAGACATTTAGCTATCTTGACACCATTTGTTGTAAGAATAACTGAAAAACTCTTTGAGTTATTCAGCTATAAAAAGAACAAGTTAAAATCATTTTATATCACCCCGTTGTTTTCCCAACTGAGCAATGGTGAGAGGAAAAAGATCATTCAGACCTTCAATAATGGTACCAATATTCATACTCTAGCTTCCATCATCAAAGTCCATTCACGGGCCATCAAGAGAATGACAAATAAGTTTAAAAACGAAGCAGCAGTAGAGAGGAAATCTGAATCCGGAGGCCACAACAGCAAGATGGATTATCATTTCAACTTAGAGCTAAATACGTTCTTATTTTTCAAAGCACTATCGAATAGTGTTGTAAAAATCTTGGGGAATTCCAGTAAAATATCTTTAATCAATTCTGAGATAAAACGGTTCAAAGCTTAATCTAAAAATTAGACAATTTTGCTGTTACACGATTTAGACAAATTTGCTGTTACACACAGTATACATACATACATACATGGATACTCATATTCGAGTAGAAGCCATTTTTTTAATTGAACAGTATTTTATCTCACTCTCTCTCTCCCTTTTCTCTCTCGATATATATATATATATATATATATATATATATATATATATATATATATATATATTTAGGTACCTCTAACGAAAAAGCAATACCTAATATACACATTTTTTAAATGAAAAATCTTTCTTGAAGCTTTTATTTTACTTTTTATTTCAAGCTAATAGATTAAATTTAATATTTCCAGTAAGCAAAATACTTGGCTGTATTTCAAACTAAATTTAAATCGATTGGAATTAGTTTTTTATCATTATCAGTAAAAACGCTAAAATCGTCCATATTGCCAAATCTGTCCAGACAACAAAATTATCCTTCAAAAATAAATTTTACTTTTCTGAAACGTTGAGAATGATTAGTTGATTTAAAGTTTAATTAATACGATTTGAAACAAATATTACTTTTAGTTACAAATATCGCAGAAAAGCATGTTTAACACGGAAGTTGTTTTGTTTTTTATGAGATGTTGACAGCTTTCTCCATAGACTTGTATTTGGGAATTTTTTCTAAGATAACTGTAACAATTACTTAACAAGAACTTAAGAAAATAATCTAAGCAATCTAATGTTTTATAGAGTTTTAGGTACTTTGGCTTTATAGTCTAACTTACGAAGACGCTTGTTGAGTAAATGCTAGAAAATTACCAAAAAATTTTAACTTTACAATAGTTGCCGCTCTTATTTTCTGATAATGTCACGTTTGGACATCCATACTTACAAAAATAGACACGTTTATACACATAATATATTCAAAATTATTTTTAAAATGTTGGGGGTCGTTGAATTATATTGAACTTTTCCATTTATGATGAGTAAATATATTCTTCATTTAATAACAATAAAACTTGACCGCTACAAATTAATACAAAATTTAAAGATTTAAAAACTACATTATTCTAATTAAAATTTAGAAAAAACATTCTTGTAAAAATTCATTACTCATCGAAAAAAAGTTTTTTTTATAGTTTCCATAATATATGTTAAAAGTTATTAAAGATTTTTTAATTAAATAATATCTAAGTTTCATTATCGCGATTGTTTTCAACGATTTATTTACGTGATTTTTTGCGACGAAGTTTTTTGTATGATAACAATTTTTATAACTTGGAGATAAATTTGGAAATAATCGAAATTAATTGCGAAATCCAGCGAAAGTCAGCCTTGAAATAAAAATAATTGCTTGTACGGAAAGTAAGGACCTACGTACATCAAATTGTTTTTAAATTAAGAATTATCGTTGAACTTTTAAAAGCTAAGCTTAAATATTAATATAATACTTAAATGGAGCGATCAATTTTGAGTTCTTTTGTAGTTTATAGTTATCTATCACATCTACTCCTTCCTACTTACTGTGATGAAGGTCCAAATGAAAAGCTCTCCACGGGAGCTAGTTTAAATGCCCCTCCGACAGTTTGTGAATAAGTCTTAGAAATTTCATTAAAATCCGACAATTATCTGATTTTTGCAATAATTTCCAATCAATGAGTTTTACACCGCAAAAAAACGTTGAGATTTCCCACACTAATATATGGTCACCCGCTGACGCGGGAAAAACAAAATTTGTAAGATTCTAAGAAGGGTTAAAAATATAATTTAATAGTAAAAAAAAAATGGTGTTTCCACCAATATATAGATTGTGACGATAAAACTTTGTTTTTATTAAGATTGGAACATTTTTTCATCATGGCATGCTCATTTTTAGCGAATCATTGGCGACATCTATATTGCACAAACTTCATCATTAAAAATTATTAAGAAGTTTTTTTTTATGTATGTCATTCCACTAATACGTGTCTTTTTGTATAAAAATGGTGGTTTGTTGCTTTCATGCCTTTAACCAATGTTCTTAAATATTCATTCTCTTTTCTCTCTTTACATTTCTAACACCAGCTTCTTCAGGTATTTTCATGCTGGTCAATACATTTTTCTTATTTATTAGACTTCTCATTTTTCTTAAATTTATTTTGTGACATTTTTTAAGCTAATTTTTTTCTTATCTTAATGATTTCAATTTCATTTTCATTTTATGATTTCTTCTCAACATGTTTGTGATTTTAAAGTTGTATTCCATCTACTCAATACAGAATCTTATTCCTCTTTTAAGCTTCCATATTTCTTGTAACTACATTTCAACCATCTTTTCTTTTTGTTTTCTTATATTTCCTTCTGTAACATTCTTAAAGCAAGGCTTTTCGAGTTCTTATCTTGCTAATATTTTCACTTTTTTGTTTCTTTTATGATCTTTTTTTTTTTACCTTTTTCGCAATTTTCAAAGTTTTGTTCATACTACTCAATATTTTGTTTCTTTTTTGAGCTTATATCTTCCTTACGAAGTATGCCAAACTTTATATATATGAAATTAAAAAAAGTAAACACCAATAAGAACTGTATTATTTAATTACAATATGAACAACACTTGAGTAATACAACCTCCCAACAGCAAATAAATTATTATAAACTAACAAAAGTAGCTTTTATTAGTTGATATACTCAGGGTCAAGTCAATTGCCTCACAAGCTTGGGTAATTATGTCTCTTTCAATTCGTGACTGACTCATAAGATTTTCCCGCAGTAGGCGGCCGTTTCGTTCTACGGCCGACTCAGGGTATATTTATCATAAGTATTTGAAACCAACCTTTTATCTTTTTTCAACATTAAAAAAAAATCGAATTTAAACTCAAATACGTTTGACAGTGAGAATCGAAAAAAAAAAACAGATATCAAATGCTGATTTTCAAAGCAAGATCTTCCTCCTTGTTTGTAAAACTAGGACAACACAATCTTACGCACATCTATTTATTAATAAATAATTATATATAAGTAAATCTCGTAATATATCTACTGGCAAAACCCCTCCCCTCCAAAAAGAAAAAAAAAACGACTGTTTGTCACCCCAACACCAATTGAATGACTGTCACCGGCAGACGCAACATGATTTAAAAATAATTTGAATTTAGCATATACCCTGGGTATCTCAAACTGGGTATTTCACACTCTTAGGGTGTACTTTAAATTATTCTAAGATGGTCATAATTATACTTTGTTGTGTAAGGGCACCCCGAGGCGATGTAATGGTTAGCAAGCTTGTCTCGCTAGAACAATTACGACTGAGTAGTGAGTTCGATCCTCACTGGGTGCCCCTTACTTTCGGCCTTGTGCCACATCTAAGCTACGCTTGGAAAATAACTATACCCTGTTGTCGATTGCAAATTCCGTGGGTAAAAGCTGTTTTCGACGGCCACCCAAAACAAAAAAAAAAAGACTAACGACTTGGGGAATATTTTTCATCGATAAAAATAAAAAAAATAGAAATCATGCAGTTGTCTTGCAAGAATTACAAATGATGTTTGGACGTCACAATAATGACAAATACTCTTCTACTTGTGCCATATCCCATCAGAACGTGGGAGATCGTGGCTCTCCACAACATCCTATGGTTTCTAGCTCTTAGTAAGGTTATTCATCTCTCCCACTTCTGCCATCTATTTGCACAAGATTATTATGAAGGTTACTTGCTGTTTTTCTCTGTCTCTCTTGCTTTCAATGTGTCTTGTGAGGGGCAAATTCTCCAGGCCTTCTTTCCTCATTTGTTCTATAAATTTCAATAGTCTCTTTCTGATTCTAATTAAAAGTATCCTTTTTCTTTATATTTTCCTCGTTACTCATATGTTATGTTCATGATATTCTCAGCATCTTTCTGTAAAGTCACATTTTTGATATATAAGAGCCCTGGTATTATATAACATTTCAGCAGCCTTTTCTTTTTGTCTCAGAATACTTTGCTTAGCTTTTGGAAAACATCTTTTTGATATTAATAATATCAAATAAGTAACCTTGACCTACATGGAAAAGATATTAGAATAATTCAGAACTGGCAGCAAACCGCTTGATTACGGATAGAAAATGAATCCAGTAGATATACAAAAATCGAAAGATGTGTAAGACAAGGATGTGTCTCCTCGCCGGACTTATTCAACTTATACAGTGAGTTGATTTTGAAAGAATTAGATGTCCTACCAGGATTCATTATTGGCGGCAACAATCTTAACTATATAAGATACATCATAGTTTGAAATAGTATTGATAGAAAATAGAGAAAGGAAAGAATTTTAGAATATAGTGAAAGAAAACGAGAAGAAAAGACACAAAGCCTGAATACATATTTGTCAACAAAAGCAACAGGCCAACATGAAAATTACTAATTGGAGATACCAAAATCAAACAAGCGCAACAATTAAACATTTGGAAAGCGTATTAACAGAGGACAAAACACTGAAATCCGAAGGCTCATTGGAATAGCAAAAGGTGCCTTCCAAAAGTTAAGCAAAGTATTAAGAAACTGGAAAATTTCATTAGAAACAAAGAAACGAGTACTGAACTGTTATGTAATATCAGCCCTTCTATATGATGGTGAATGCTGAATAATTCCCTCACAAATGAAGAAGAGACCTGAAGCAACAGTAATATGGTTCTACAGAAGGATGCTGAGAATACGATAAACTGAAGATAAGAGCAACGACTACGTTTTATAGAAAATGGAAATAAAAAAGGATACTTATACTTAACATCAGAAAGAGGGCACATAATGAGAAAAGAGGGCAGGGAAAATATGATACTCATAGGACAGATTGAAGGCAAGAGAACCGGGTGGGGGGAATTAACAACGCATGACCTACCCGTTGAACTTGAATAGATAGATGGCGGAACAAGTTTTAAGATAGATAACAAAAAGACAAAATTTATTAAGAGATGAAGTTGTGGAGAGTCATGATCGCCAACGCCCTGAAGGGACACGGTATATAAAAGATTAAGAATTTAATAGTAGTTAAAGTACCTAGTACTCGAGTAGTCATTGACGACTATCTCTGTGGGGTAATGGTAGATATAATTATCTTTATTACACTTAAAATTGGCAGTAGAATTTGAAAGTTATAATCTAAAATAGGACGGTAAAAAAAGCGAGTGATCAGTTTCTTTTTATATATTTGAATTGTAAGATTACGAAAAGATTTATGAATGTTTACTGATGGTAACTGCGGTTAGTGAACTTTCATAAAAGCTTTTGCAGTTGTAGTCGTCGTGGTCGTCGTAGATATTGGCGGCAAAGCAGGTAGATAAACTGTCTGTTTCAGCTTGGTGATCTTGACATGGGTGTGCCGACATAAAGACGGGACAATAAGTATCATTTGTTAGCAATGAGTCGACGGTTGAAGGGGATGGAAAGTGGGTGGTTTGACGGCATTTCTCAGCTGTTAACCGTGATATCAGCAATTACAGTAAACTTGTGTAATGGACTACTTTCGCTAAATAGGGTTTCTATTTAACAAAATATGTAGGAGTTAAAAAAGAAAGAATGAAGGAAAGAAGAAAGAAAAGAAAAAAGGAAGAAAATTGAAAAATAACATTTGAAAGAAAATTAGCATAGAAAAATAAGTTAGAAGAGAAGAAAGAAAGAAAGAAAGAAACAAAGAAAGAAACAAACAAACAAAAGGAAAGAAAGACAAACAGAAAGAAAGAAAAGTGAAATATAACATTGGAAAGAAAAAAGAGCGTGGACGAATAATTAACAAGAATTACAAAAGAAAGAAAGAAAGTAAATGAAAGAAAGAAAGAGAGAGAGAAAGAAAG